GGGCGTTGGCGTGGGCCATTCGTTGCCCGGTTCAGAGAGGGCGAGGCCTGCGGGGGCCTGGCAGGCAGGGCTTGTGCTGCCAGAGGCTGGTGGCTTCAGGGAGCTGACCACGGCAGGCACAGAAAAGACGCCTTCGCGCTAAGGGCAGGGAGTGGTGAGGAGCGTCACACAAAGGTTTTGCCTGATATTCAGCCACAATCTTCCCTTTCTAAAGATGCAGCAACCCACTTCAGCGTGTGCCTGACTTTAAGCATGTGTTTTAAGTCCCATTTATTTCAAGCAGGTGTCTAAGTGCTTTGCTGAACCTGGGCCTTAATTTCACCCTGCTCTGCTTAGTTCTACCTCCAGGTACCACCCTCAGTCATTCTCCCCGCTTCCTGCTGTTCGCGGGCTTCAAGTCTTTGGACACTTGTGCTTCCCCACCTTAGCGGTCACGTTGCCAACCTGCACATTTCCAGCTCTTTTAATCTGTCCTCCCATGGCTGGGCAGCCACCTGCCGAGCACCCCCTTGTGGCCTAGGGTGGCTCTGCAGCAGCCTGCCTCAGTTTCCCCATCACTAGGGTGCTCCATCTCTCAGGGATTCATGCGGCTCACCCCACCAGCCGGACAGCTCTGAGTCCAGTCCCCTTTCGGGGTAACCAAAGTCCGAACAAACAGTAAGGTTTTTGGGATCCTCTTCCGCTTGTCTTCTGGGCTCCCTTAAGTCTTTCTGCTCAGGTGTTTTACAGGCTCTCATCAGACCCTATTAGTCCTGCCCGCTTAAGCTGGGAGGCCACTAATTATGGGACAGGTAGGGCTGGCCCCATTTCCCCTTCAAGGGCCAGTCACCCTATGGCACCTCCTTATAAATGGAACCCTCCTTTCTCCTGATCCTTTCTGTTGCTCTTCTCTGCACACCCACCTGTTTGGCAATATAGTTCTGCCAACCTGGTACCAGAGTCCAAACACAATATTCCAGGCCCTGTTGCACCTCAGCCACATAGCAAGAGACCACTGCTCCTGGCTCTCTGCCTACTCAGCCCTCAGTCAGGCCAATTCCAAACTGTTGCCTATTATTTCCTTGATGGAAATATTCCCTCGGTGGTCGCTCTAGTTCAGACTCTCTGGACCACCCCATCCTGTACCACTATGGGCTAGTTTTTGTAATGCAAAATTCTTATGACAGGGGAATTGCAAAATTCCACAGTCAACCTGTGGAACTGTGTGCCAGAGGATGTTGTGAAAGCCAAGACACTAACAGGGTTCAAAAAAGAACTAGATAATTTCATGGAGGACCGGTCCATCAATGGCTATTAGCCAGGATGGGCAGGGATGGTGTCCCGGGCCTCTGTTTGTCAGAAGCTGGGAATGGGCGACAGGGGATGGATCACTTGATGATTCCCTGTTTTGTTCATTCCCTCTGGGGCACCTGGCATTGGCCACTGTGGGAAGACAGGATACTGGGCTAGATGGACCTTTGGTCTGACCCAGTCTGGCTGTTATGTTCTTAATTGCCCTCAGCCAGTAACAGTTTTTGGTTACTGCTGAACTGAGCCGGATTTCCAATCCCAAGCCAGCCACTCCTCCCTGACTGGCACTTTTACAGTTAGTCTCTCCATTGCTGCCTCCCATTCTCAGAGAGCCCGAAGCCCAGTGAAGGGAGTGGAAAGGCTCCCAGGGACGTCAGTGGGGTTTGGATCAGGCCCAGACAGAGACAAGTGAGAGAGAGCAGCAGCAGGGGGAATATTTTCAAAAGTGACTACGTGGTCTTTCAAAAGATGTAGGTGCCTAAATCACTGCTCGAAATGTTACCCAGGGGCATGAGAAGGAAGGCTGGACTTGTAGCATCAGCTCAGGGGAGGCGGGTTCAATCGCCGGCTGTCACAAACTCCCTGTGTGACCTTGGGCAAGTCCCTGGATCTGTCTGCACTCAGTCCCCAAGCTGGGAACTGGAGAGGATAACAGGGCTGGGGTCTGGTTCAATTTTAAGCTCTTTGGGGCACGGGCTGTCTTATTACGTGTGCGTCTAGTGCTTAGCACGATGCGTCTCCAATCTCCAACCTGGGGATTTCAGTGGGTGAGAAGCTGAGTATGAGTGAGCAGTGTGCCTTTGTTGCTAAGAAGGTTAACGGCATATTGGGCTGCATTAGTAGGAGCATTGCCAGCAGATCGAGGGACGTGATCATTCCCCTCTCTTTGGCACTGGTGAGGCCACATCTGGAGTACAGTTTTGCGCCCCCCACTACAGACAGGATGTGCACAAATTGGAGAGTCCAGTGGAGGGCAATGAAAATGACTAGGGGGCTGGGGCACATGACTTATGAGGAGAGGCTGTGGGAACTGGGATTGTTTAGTCTGCAGAAGAGAAGAATGAGGGGGGATTTGATAGCTGCTTTCAACTACCTGAAGAGGGGTTCCAAAGAGGAGGGAACTAGACTGTTCTCAGTGGTGGCAGATGACAGAACAAGGAGCAATGGTCTCAAGTTGCAGTGGGGGAGGTTTAGGTTGGATATTAGGAAAAACTTTTTCACTAGGAGGGTGATGAAGCACTGGAATGCGTTACCTAGGGAGGTGGTGGAATCTCCTTCCTTGGAGGTTTTTAAGGCCTGGCTTGACAAAGCCCTGGCTGGG